GCAATCTCAGCCCCTCACCAAGGAAGCCCACTCCCCCACACACGCCAGGTGACCACGGCTCACAGTTTGACACTGACACTCCGGACAGCCTCCTTCCCTCGTCCTCATCTGAGAGCCGGTCACTCCCTTTCCCTGATGTAAGTGTTAAACACATTACCACACGTGTCTAATGCGGTTGTTTTTGTTTGTATTTTTTTTTTTTTTTTAAACTGATCAATCATCAGGTATGTTTTAGCAACAAACGTGCGTCGTGACTGCTTTGACACTTGTGCCCTCGACCAGGCCCCGACCGCCCTGTTAGACACCAGCGCTCTTCGCTCCAGAGCCCAGCTGGGGAAGAAACGAGCACCGCGGACACGGCCCTCCAAGGCCGCCCGTCAGAGTGCGGCGCTGGCAGAGGCAGAGGGAGAGGGAGGCGCCACCGAGGACTGGCTTTACCGAGACTCCACAGGTGAGCACTTGACACCAAAAAGACCTGCTAAAATCTTGATATGGTTCTTTTATTTTGTATTTAATTCACTTCTACTTTTTATCATGACACTTCTGTTAATACTGTAAAATACTGTACATATCCACACTCCTTTTATATTTAGATTGTATATTTCATTATATTTTCTGCTGTTATTTCTGTTCCTTAATATCTTGACATGCTGTTGCGTTGTTGTTTTTTTTTTTTTTTAGATATTTAAGTTATTCCCACCCACAAAGGATATGTGTAACACGGCAGTATACTCGAAAGAAAACATGACACATTTAAGGAAAACTTGAATAAAATCCACACACACATAAATCAGTTTTGGTTTCTATTAAGAAAACCGTCAATAAATCAGTCAGCACTAAACAAATATACTGACTTCTCTTGGGATTGTTATACTTTGTGCAGCTCAGCTCTTTTCACAACAAGGAAGAAAAAACGTGCAGCAAGAGCTCACTCCAGCACCAAAACGTTGATCAAAGTAACTCAGTTCAACCCAAAATTATTCCACTCAAACACCTCTAAGTCTCTAGAAGACGTAGTAATTACGGTGCGGGGGAACACATGTGAATAAAGCATTAGTCTATTAATTAAAAGATTACGCGGGCCACCGAACTTCCTACCACACAGCTCCGATCCCCCGCCGGTAAGATGCTTCCTTTGTTTTTCTCAAATAGGCAGATGACGTGAAGTCAGATTGTCACAATGCAAAGTGAGCAATTGTAACAAGAATATGTGGATCAATAAAGTATTTCTGATTCTGATATTACATCAGACAAGCTTCTTCTCCAGTAACTGAAGTATACTACACTAAACAGGTGTGCACTCAGAACTCAGATGCACTTTTAATCTAAATAACTGAAGGTCTAACTACAAGTCTACGGTCGCCAGTCGTTATGTGTGAACTACACAACGACTCATCAAAATAGCTCCCCGACACATTTCTGACACATCGCCGACGTCTGCCAGATATCTAGCATGCCAAATATCTGGAAGAGTCGGCCGACTCGACATCCAGCCAATGAGAGCAGGCAGCTACTTTTTCACCGCAAAACACTTCTTACTCGCCTTCAGCTCTCTCTGTAGCTCAGACAATCCCTGCTTACTGCGTGTGCTAATCCATAGTCATGACAATATTTTGCGTTCTCCCTATGACAGAGGCAAAGGTTGAGAGTAAGGACGATGACTCGGACTCCGAGGAGCGGGCCAGAGGAGCTGACGCCGGCCCTGTTGTCGCCTCCCAGCCACAGAGGGTCGCTCTTTTCCCTGGGATGGACCCTTCAGCTTTAAAGGTGAGCCTCACTTTTATCGCATTTATCAGATATATTCACAAAATGTGTATGTTCACTAGTCCTGTTACTGCTTACAGTAGTATATTGAGTATTTAAAATTTTTTATTCTCTGGTAATGGATTGTATACATTTAGTTTTTACTTTGAGGTTTCCTAAATGTGTCCCACTCGTGTCGTCAGGCCCATCTGAAGAAGAGGGGCGACTCTGACAATCAAATCGACGGACCCTCTCCTTCCCAGCTTTCTCGCTCTCCTAAGTCCCCCTTCCTTCCCATGGCAGCGCGTTTACTGCCCCCGCCTGGTGGGAAAGAAAATGGGTAAGCAGGGAAGAAGTCACAGAGAACTTGTCGGCTCATCGTTTAGCTGTTTGTCTCCACGTTATCTTTCGGCTTGGTAATGCTGTCGCTCTCTGTATTTGTGCAGCGAGGAGGACTCTCCCCAGTGGTTGAAAGAGCTGAAGTCCAAGAAGCGCTTGAGCCAGTATGAAAATGAGAGCTAAGTAAATAATGAGGTGAGATAGTTTTTGAAAGTTTTCTTTGTCTTTCACTATTTTTATTTTATTTATTTTTAACCGGCTCATAATCATCTGTTGTCTCTCATCCTCCCTTTAAGGTTGCCTTAACAGATGAATCTATATGAAACAGAAGCCTTAACGTTCGACCCAGAGAGTAGAAGAGTTGAATCTACAGCTGCTGATGTTTTGTTTTTTTTCTATTTGTTTTTGTTGTCTTCCCGCCTGGGTTGATAAATGTGCATGGTGCCTTGTTTTTTTTGTTTGTTTGTTTTTTTTATTGTTATGGAGAGTCTCTGTCTTATGGAAAAATGAGCTACGGTGGAGGGGGCGACATCAGGCTGCTCTACTTTATCCATGTCATGCTTGAACCTGTGGACACTCTTCTGTACCAGGAGTCACTTCACATGGACACTTTATTAGGGACCAGGAGGAGAGATGGGTGGGAAAGGGAGAAAAGGCAATTATTGGTTAACCTGTGAGTCCACGACGCGTCTTCACCCTGGTCGTGCTTCATCACATGCTGGAGGACAATCCAGCCAAGATGTATTTAGTTTCCTAACTCTGCTAATAAGTTGGCTGTGTCTGCGTGGGACGTATAGATGTGTGCTATCAGACAGTGGAGGTTATTGATGGGAGCCATACAAGCATTGCCATAGGATAACATTTCAGACGCTAATGATTTTCCTTCTTGAACGTAGAGAACAAATAACTGCTGACTTTTGATTGTCAGCGAGAGTGTATATCATGTTAGTAACTGTAATCAGGAGATGTTATATTTGTATTATATGATTGATTTAACAAAGACAGAGAGCTAGTTTTGAAAAACATTAAGGTGCATCACCACCATAGAGGCTCCAGAGCCTTTTACTTTGATACACTCCACAATTGTTGCTGCATACTGTTTGTCTTTTTTGTCTAAATATCACTGTGGGAGAGGGACGGGGGACTTTTGGCCAAGTGACTTAGCTTCTGTCAATCATGAACACTCCTTATCAGCACAACTATTATGAGAACGCTAATCAGTCTGTCTTCCTTCCTGTAATAGATTGAATGATTGTAGCTGCAGGTTCATTATAAGCCATACTTTCACCTTGCAGCCCTCACACACACACACTCCGCCATCATGTTTTCTCCAACAAATGTGCAATTTCCCACTATTTTGTCCCCATTGATGTGCATGCACAATCTTTGCTGTCAAACTAGGCGTTGCTCAGACTGACTGGCTCAGTGTCGGGGTGTTGGCTCACACTACTCCAGTGGAGGGATGGTTTGTTCACTACATTGTTTAAACAACACAACCGTCTGTAATGCCCGAGATATTTGCGCCGGCTTCACAAATGAACAGTAATCTTTCTCCTCATGATTGACATCCATCCACCCAATCACTCTGCTCTTCTAAAAAGCACTTTGTCACTTGATGCACTACAGCACTGACCTCTGCCCCGTCTTGTTGGCCATGTCTTGTCTCCTGTATTGTTGGAGCGCTCATGCAATGCAAAGTGAATGTGTTGATCGAGTCCCCGATTGTCCCTGGTTTCTGTGTACATGACGTTTTACGTTGTGATAAAATGTGAGGGTTTATTTTTTATGTCCTTCTTTGTCCATTTTTTTTTATTTGGAAGTAAAGATGTATATTGCACTGTGTTGTACTGGCCAGTGTCCTAAAGTGAATACATTCTTAATAAAATTTACTTGACTTGAGTTGCACGTGTCTGTGTAGTGTTTGTGATCATTAAGTGTAGTGTGCACTCTTTGAAAAGTCTTAAGCTTTGAGACTTTTAATGAAGTCACCTACTGGAAGTCTTATTTATATAAGCATAAAGCCTGTGAATAAAATCACTGATGAATTTGAAAAAATGAAGTTTTTTGACGCAACTGCTGCAATTTTGCTTCATAGTCAAACCTGTGAGTGCAAGTATTTGATCTTGTTGATTGCACTAACCCACATTTGAGAGAAAGGTGTGAGGAAGTTTGGTGTGGTTGAGGCTGGGTGTAGTTCCAGAGTGTGTGTGTGTTTGTGCTGAGCAGGGCTGTTTGCTGAATCCTCTTGGCTCTCAGTCCCTGTGCCCGCACACAGTGCTCGCTGGCAGCCAGGCGGACGGCGGGCAGGGCAGGGCAGCGTGTGCCAACACAGCTGCCTATTGAGAGGCAACGTTACGGACACAATGTGAGCGACAGACTTGCTGTATCAACAGCTCCCCCTTTTTCTGCTGTTGTGGCCAGAAATAAACCATAAATACCCCCCCTGTCCCTGCCCTCTAATGGCTCAACCCCACCAAACACCAAGTGGCACCGAAAAAAGAGGGACACTACCACTTCCTAGCAGGCATACCCAGGTAAAAACCTCACTCTGGACACACAGTGGGTATAAGTATTCCAATGCAATGGAGTCAGATGGTGCTGCATCAAGTGAAGACCCAGGTTTGGAGGATTTTGGTTTTATGCATTGTTATTGAACTAAATAAAGGACTGTTTACTTGAAGGGAAAAGGATATTTGTATCATATTCAGTTGATGAAAGGCAAACAGAATACTAGGCAAAGGGTTGCTACTTCACTTAAGGCCAAAATTAATACAATCCTCTTATTCAAGGGAGAGTTACACATTTTATATTTTTCCTACTGTGTGTTTGTGTGCTTGAACATGCACGCATGATGGATGTTGCTTTGTCTGTGTGTGTGCTGCTCCTGCCAAAAAGTGGAGGAGCAGTGGATCAGGAGGATGTCGGAGCAGCAGAGTGCCCCGGAGCAGCTGGCTGCTGGGAAGAGCCAGGGTGGGGCTGGAGCCTCATATAAGGTACTGGGAAAACCTTCTGTGCAGAGAGGAAAACGCTTGTTTTTTTAATCAGGGAAGGATTGATCACTGGCTCACATTTATGCAGGTGGTTCAGTACAACCACAAAGTCTAATTACTGGTCATTAGCTTATTATGTAGCCTGGTGAACAGACATCAGAATTTATAGTAAGTGGTCATGTCCTCTGTCTGTATTTTCACAATGTCTTCTTAGTGAACAATATGCACCACTTTATGAAGGCCTTAATCTAAACCTGACTCTTCTCTGTTATCCAGGTGGTGCTGTTTGAGTTTGAGAACTTCCAGGGCTGCAAGGCGGAGTTTTCTGGAGACTGTAAAGATGTGACAGAGAAGGGACTGGAGAAGGTTGGATCTGTGATAGTTGAGTCCGGACCGTAAGTAATGCTCATTTCACTTCTCTTAGGGATTGTTGAATTCATGTCTTGAAGATCATTTAGAAACCAAATGTAGTAAGAAAATAGTTTGCTAAATCATTTGGTCATGTTTTCCATCTGTGTTCGTACCTTTTTTCCTCTCAGCTGGGTGGGTTATGATCGCCACGGGTTCACAGGGGAGCAGTTTATTCTGGAGAAGGGCGAGTATCCACGCTGGGACACCTGGACCAACAGTCAGAACAGCTACTCCCTCTTGTCTCTAAGGCCACTCAAAGTGGTGGGTCACTAGTCTCAAATTAAACCTGACACCGCAGCCATAACTTACACCAGACACAAAAGGTGGCTGGCCACTTTCACAAATTGTATTCTGACCTCCTTGCACACTATATGTCATTGCTCACTATTGCACTATCAACATCTACTGGAGACATTTGAAGGACTTGGGAAGTATCCACGTGTCTGTTTCTTCTCTATAGGACAGTGCTGATCACAAGCTACACCTCTATGAGAACCCTGGATTTACTGGTAGAAAGATGGAGATTGTTGATGATGATGTGCCCAGTTTGTGGGGTCATGGTTTTCAGGATCGTGTAGCGAGTGTCAAGGCTCTTAACGGAACGTAAGATCCTCCCTACATCCCACTTTCATTGAGTCACTTTCTCTTGATTTTCTAATTTACCTACCCAACATAGCAAAATACTCGATTGTCTAACAGTATTTTGAGGATATTGTGAGACAAGCATCACAAGTTTGTCCGTTTTCCCTCCCTCCAGATGGGTCGGCTACATGTACCCAGGATACAGGGGGCGCCAGTTTATCTTCGAGCGAGGAGATTTCAAGCACTGGAACGACTGGGAGGCCCCTGCGCCTCAGATCCAGTCTGTCCGACGTGTGCGGGACATGCAGTGGCACAAGAGGGGCTGTTTCATTGTTCCTGACCCAGCTCCGGCCCCCGGGCCTGGGCCTGACCCTGACCCCGCCCCAGCACCTCCTGCCCCTCCCGCCACAGCTGGAGCCAGCTGAGCAGGATCCCGCAGGCTGCCGACAGTAGCCACCCAATGCCTAACCCCAACCACGGCAAACGCTGCTTGTGCCCAGTGAGGAGTGCCATGTATGTTTCAGTGGCGAATAAAAGTTATTTGACCTGGAGTTGGCCCTGTTTGTTGGTGATGTTATACTTGTATGTCAAGATGGAAATGGCTTTAACTGAGATACTAGAGATTTAGAGAAAGAAAAACACTATCAGAGATGTAGAACTGACATCAATGTGGATATATTGAAGCCTGCAATGGGCAAATCTCTTTCCTCAAGACAAACTGCAGATGTGTTTTGAACTGAATTTATTTCCAAGTCATGTGTGCCACTTTTATTGCTTGTGTTTCCCCATATTAGTCAGACAGCTCAAAACCTCATCTAGCATTAGGAGCACATGATTTGTTCGTTGAATATGTGGATTGGCATCTGCTTAACATCAGTGGAAGTGATGTCATACTGTATGTAAGCTTGCTATTAAAACAGAGTGCACTGCATTCCCTTTCATAGTCATCATTGTGCATTTGGTAGTTAGTGATCCCCGTGATAAATGGACACCAAGTAAACATTAGGAACTAATGGCAGGCTAATTATAGTATGCTCATGTAAATATATTTTAATTCAAATTATGTTTTGGTAAGTAAATTAAGTAATAGGTCTTCTGATAATAATGAGGCAAGATCTATGTTGCACAATCCAAATAAATTCCATCTGCAGATGTGATTACTTTTTACGATGACATAAAATTGCACACGCAGGCTATTATTTAGTACACGATGTAGGTCTAAGATTCGATCATTCCCCTCAAAATGTTACTAAGAAGAGCTCATTCATCCATGTTTCTCTTTAGTGAGGATATAATAGCTAATAGAGTGACACTGACCTGCATTTGAACATAAACATGAGTATAACTCCGTCTGTCTCCACCAGTCAGGAATGGATACTTGCAATAAAACATGCTGTTGGCCAGCTGTGATCCTGAAGTACCTCAGGTCTGTAGCTTACTAACATAAACAATCCTGAATCATGAGGAGGAAGCTCTCAGAAAGGCCTTCAGCTAGGGGGTCAGTTCAGGCCATTACTACTTATTGATTATGTTTATTTCTCATATATTCTAAGAGCATAAAGCCTTCTTGACATAAGCTCTAATGCCCAGGTCCTAATTCGAACGTAAACAAAAATCTTGCACTAAAATATGAAACTCAACTTCTTAAATACACACACAACCTTGTATATTCTTCATAAACAGTAGATGTAGGCTCACGCCTGTGTTTTGAATCATAAGCTGACAGATGGCATCGTCATGAATGGCACCGTTTTACTCGAGTCGCTCTCCTCCTGTAATGAGGAGTGAAATGTACAACCAAATCTGCAATCTCAAGAAAAATTATTAACTTGTGCTTTCCCTGTGTCTGTTGAACTGAAATTAAGTGTACTGAAGTGAAACAAACACAAGATAGTCCAACAAAACAGTCACCACCTGCTTGTGTGTGTTTCTCATAAATTCCACTGTGTGATTCATTTACAAGGTACAATGTAGGTTTAATTGTCACATTACAACAGGGTTGTAAAATGAAATGTTGGTTTCTATCTCCCTTCTGCTACATAGCAGTCAGGATATAGTATACAAAACAATCACAGAATGGTAAACAGAAGCAAACTTTAAACTATATTCCATGGAGCAGTGCTGAGGATGGATTTGAGTCTCATAGCTTTGGGTGGAAAAGCCTCTCTGTAGTCTGGTGGTGCGACTGCAGAAATTTCTACATCTTTTTCCAGATGGCAGCAGAGTAAACAGGCTGTGGCTGGGGTGGGTACTGTCCTTTAATATCCTTTGGGCTCTGCGTAGGCACCTCCCCTCACCGATATCTGTGATGCTCGGGAGATGGGTACCAATGATCTTTTATGAGCAGTTTTAATCACCAGCTGCAGTGCCCTCTGGTCCTGGGCCATGCACATCCCAAGCCAATTGATGTTTCCAGTCAGCTTAAATGATGAAACATCATTTGAATGCACCACAAACAATTCTCTGAACCATTTCTGGCTGTGAATGTATGAGGAACAGTTATCTACATTTCCAACGTAACATGAGCAGTTTAAGAACATTGATGGGTAAGACCCCTACAGTCTCCCCTCGCCGATGTCACTGATGCTTGGGAGACGGATACCAATGATCTTATGAGCAGTTTTAATCACTAGCTGCAGAGCTCTCCAGTCCTGCACATCTATTGCCAATTAGTGATGTTTCCAGTTAGTATGAATGATGAAACAACATTTGAATGCATCACAAACAGTTGAACCATTTCTGGCTGTGAATTAATGAGGATTGACTGATTTATGAGATACAGTTACCTACATTTATGCCTAAGATCTCTACAGTCTCTATCTAGGACTTGCATTGTATGTCAGTTCAGTGTAATATACTCTCTTCACTCCCTGTTGTATCTATCAATCAGATCTTTGAGGTAGCCAACAGACATATTTTGAAAATGCAAGCACAACTACAAGAAAACATAGAAACTGGGATTTGTCTTGCTTCACCTTCATGTACTGATCTGTTTGCATTTCTTCACAGAGTTCAGCACAAGGTCAGGTTTGCGCCCCTACGGCTATACAGGTGCTAACTTGCTTTCTTAAGGGTGCAGTACAGCACCGTCATGATAGTGATCGGTTGAGATGTAATTTTAGACTCTGTTGCTCACCGCCTGAACACCGCCTGTAGATATTTACTTAATAACAATAATGATGAATACAAATGTATTCTTTAATTTCAAAAGTTTAGTTAGATTAAAATTTCTACTCGGTCACGAATAGTTGTTTCACATTGTCATTGATTTGTCTCTGGCAACATTTCATTACCCATTGCAAATGAGCAGGTAAAAAAAAAGTGATCATAGCCTAAACCAGTATTGTTGTGTTTTAGCTAACTGTGTAAATATAAAAAATAATGGTTGCTGTTGTTGTTTAAATTACATCATATGTCATGACCAAACCTCATGTAACTCATGACTGTAAAATAAATGTAGTGGAACAAAAAGCAACCAAGCAATGTAGTGGAGTAAACATAAAATCTCACAAACTTGAAATACTCAAATAAAGTACTGTTAATGCACACTTATATTAAAAGCACTTAATTACATTGTAAATCTGCAGCACCACAAAACCTCTCAAACCACAGTTTTCATCTGTCCTCAACAGTGACACATGCCCACTTCAGTCCAGTTGTATTTAAATTGTTCATATTACTTACTGTCTACATGTACACTTGGCTTAAAAATAATATTATCCATATTTACTCAGTATTTTTCCTTCAGTAGAAGACAATATTAACTTCTGTCCTTCTTGACATGCACATGCAACATCATTAAAAGTAATTAAATGAGAAAAAGCGGCATATTGTTTTACATTTTATTTTATTACACTTCATAACTTCATATTCACTGAACGGTTTGACAGCCAACGGCAGAAAGATGGCAAATGCAGTCAACAGGTTTGAGTGAAAGCTTCTTTCTTCCAAACAGCAGACGCAACGACATTTGACAAGAAACCTTAACAGTGTTTTCTAGAAATGAAATACCAAATAAACCTACACTTGTGGATATTTCCAGCAGTATTTGGACTGTTATTCAAATCAGTCTGAATCTCTCCTGCACGGTAAAACCCATCTTTTACAGTCCTTCTCTCTCTCTTTCCCTCTCATTGTAGGTGTGGGACTCTTGGCACTGTTTCTGCTGAATCATGTGGATATTGAACAATGACTGGCTGGACAAAACTGACAACTAATGAAATAACTTTGTGGGAGTGTGACACCCCGGGGTGGGGGGAGGCTACACGGTGACCCCTCATTTCAGTGTGCTGGGCCTATGGCAGGCCGATCTGCAGGCCAGCTTGGACACTGTGGGTACTGTTGGCAGAGTTTCCACCCCTGGGCTTCCCGTATATATTGAGCTCATCGTGCCATCACAAACACACTGGCACAGACAGGTACTGGTAAGAGGTTCATGTCCGCCATGCTGTGTTTTATAACATTTACATTTAAAATTTGTATCAGTGTTCGTTTTCCTTTTGCCTCTATGTTTTAGGTTTAATCTCTACAAACTGTGTCAAACTGCACTTCTGTGTTCAGAAGGCTGTGGACTACAGAAACATGTTCTGGAGGGAGAGGGATGGGCACCTTTGTATACATGCATATGAGAAAATAATAGAAAACAAAATCTATGAAAGTGGGATTTAACAGCAGTTTGACCTGCTGGTATTTTAAATATAATGATACAAGTTTGTTTTAAATCCAGCAGACAGCCGTAGATAGTTAATGAAAAAACAATGAAATTATAATTTTGTCTGTTTCTTTTCAGTTTCATCCTTGTTGATCCATTCACTATGGCCACAGACCACCAGAACCCTGCATCCAAGCAGCAGCAGCCAGGCACCAGTGCGTTTAAGGTGAGAGGAAATGCAACAGACATGCAGAAATCAATCCACTTACCATTTACAACTTCCTCCTTGGAGTAAGCGCTTGTGCACTCCCTATTTGGAATCACTGCATTCTCAAAATGTCAGATTGGCAACAAGAGTTAAAAACCCTTTGTCTCCTCTTTTCTCCCGTTGGTACACAGCTGGTTATCTATGAGCAGGAAAACTTCCAGGGACGCTGCCATGAGCTGACTGGTCCCTGTAACAACCTCCAGGAAGCAGGCGTGGAGAAAGTGGGCTCCATACTGGTGCTGTGTGGACCGTGAGTGTGGACCAGAGACTAGAAGACTAGAAAATGATTTAAAACCAAAAGCCGTAAAAGAGATAATGGGAGTAGGGGATGGAAGGGAGGAAGAAGGCCTGACAAACAAATTATTGTGTGCTAAGCAGATTACACTAGTTTTTAATCAATCACATCCGTCCATCTTTTTCTCTTCTGTCCTCTCAGATGGGTGGGATACGAGCAGGCCAGCTGTAAGGGGGAGCAGTATGTGTTTGAGAAGGGGGAGTATCCTCGCTGGGATTCCTGGACCAACAGCAGGCGCAGTGACACCATTGTTGCATTCCGCCCAATTAAAGTGGTACGAAAATACACTTTTTACTGTTACACCGCCCCCCAATAAGTTGCTTAACAAATCATCCACTGGGCTAATGCTTTGCCCCTCCTTCAGGACAGCCAGGAGCACAAGATTGTCCTTTACGAAAACCCCAGCTTCGCAGGGAAGAAGATAGAAATCATAGATGACGATGTCCCCAGCTTTCATGCGCACGGCTACCAGGAGAAGGTCTCCTCTGTCCGGGTTCAGAGTGGCACGTGAGTCCCTCCTCCCTGCAGATGTTGTGTGCTACTGCAAATAAAGTCTCTTGTCACTTTCCTTACACCTCTAACTGCCTCTTATCCCTCTCTGTGCTCCTGGTGCACCAGTTGGGTGGGCTATCAGTATCCAGGCTACAGAGGCTATCAGTACCTGTTTGAAAAGGGGGAGTACAAGGACAGCAGTGAGTTCGGAGCCCAGATTCCTCAGATCCAGTCGGTTCGGCGCATCAGAGACATGCAGTGGCACCAGAGGGGTGCTTTTCACCCCGTCAACTAAGCTTGTGACTCTTCCCTGTCATGAACCCTGACCTCAGCAGCCTTGCTCCCTTCCAGCACCCTTTGTCCTCCATTTGCACCACACAGCATTTTGATATCTATTTCAGCTGTTGCAGTAGTGACATTCTTTGAAGCAAACTAATAAATCCTTATTGCTTACATTTGACTTGGTTGTGTGATTTACCTCTGTTTCGCTCTCTGCACGCCAAAATCTTAAAGGGACACGAATTTTTATTAAAATTGTCTATAAAGGCACCAAAAAAGCAGTTTCATGTGCACTGGCTAACTCCGACCTACAGGTTGTGCTGCAGGAGCTTAAAAATGCCGTCACTTCCTGTTTTCCGGCGAAGAAGAGCTAACACATGAAAAACATGCTGCTTTATTTCGTCGTGTAATATGTACGTCGTTTACGTAAGAAACGTTATATTTTAAAAGCAGTTTTCTAGTCTATTTACTCCCCACATTCTCAGTTCAGACCTCGGTGCGTCGGAAACATTGGTATGAAAATGTCACCTAATATAAATGCTTAGCTTAACTAGGCTAGCTAGACATGTTTAATGTTGACCGTCTTGACTTTCGTAGCACTGCACTTTTATCGTGCTGCCAAACCTGATAGATAATTAACAGCCGCGTTTTTCCTGTACTTTATATATATATAAAGTTATTTTTAAATGTTTCTGGGGTTGCCTGTATCAACTTTATCCCAATAAATTTGTGTTGTCGGAGTCAAAACAAACAGGGCTGCCTCACATCTTTCTTTGCTAGCGAATATCCACCTTCAAAGTTGATAATTAAACAAGGTTTGCTTGTTGCCAAAAGTACATTTCTATTAGACAATGATTAAAGACGTTTTATGAGTCATTTTGTTCAACTCTTTTATTCGGCATGCCTATAAAACATACTAATAGTCCACTAACATTACTTGTACATGTTACTTCCTTCCTTCTTGTATGTAGGCGATTTGGACAGAATGCATTGTGGGTTAAGTTATTTCTAGTCTGCACGTTGACGTCCATGAATTTGTGTCTTGATGTATTTTTTTTTTAGCTAATATAACTATGTAAGATTACTTCACATTAAGTGAATGATGATGAAAGAGAAAAGGACATTAACTAAAACCTGTGGGTCAGCTCTACTACAGCTACTACAGTAGGTTGGTTTTCATTTATAGGAAAGACTTTTGACAACAACAACTGTATAACAAACAACATTGTTTTCCTTTTAAAACAGTCAAGATGCCTGTCCATTGCAGTAGCTGTGTTGACAAGCGCGCCGTGCTGAAACGTCCAAAGACAGGCCACTCGCTGTGTAAGGAGTGCTTCTTCTGGGCCTTTGAGGAGGAGGTGCATCAGACGATTGTAGAAGCAAAGCTGTTCAAACACGGGGAGATAATAGGAATTGCGGCCTCGGGTGGAAAGGACTCCACAGTGCTCGCGCATGTGATGAAGCTCTTAAATGAGCGGTACAACTATGGCCTTGAACTTATGCTTCTCTCGGTGGATGAGGGAATCACCGGGTACAGAGATGACTCCTTGGAGACAGTGAAGAGGAATCAGCAACAGTATGAGCTGCCACTGAAGATTGTGTCGTACGAGGAGCTGTATGGCTGGACTATGGATGCTATAGTGAAGCAGGTGGGACTGAAAAATAACTGCACCTTCTGCGGGGTGTTCAGGAGGCAGGCGCTGGACAGAGGAGCCATCATGCTGAAGGTCGACAAGATATGTACAGGTAATTACAAATTGCATTATTAAAATGTAAACGCAAGAAATTCAACTTAGGCTTTATGTCAAAGAATAAATGTTCTGTTTGAATGTGTTACAAAGGCTGGATCTGTGTTTGTGTTTTCAGGTCACAATGCCGACGACGTGGCGGAGACAGTGTTGATGAACATCTTGCGTGGGGACATAGCTCGTCTGCGCCGCTGCACTGCCATCTCCACAGCCAGCGAAGGCGAAGGGGTTGTGCCGCGCTGCAAGCCGCTCAAATATGCGTATGAGAAAGAGATCGTTCTGTATGCTTACTTTAAAAAGTTGGACTACTTTTCCACTGAATGTATCTACTCTCCCAATGCTTATCGAGGGTATGCAAGGACCTTTTTAAAGGACCTGGAGAGTGTGAGGCCTAGCTCCATAATTGACGTCATCCACTCAGGGGAGAACCTGTCTGTGCGGGAAGGGGTGAAGATGCCTGTGCAGGGAACCTGCAACCGCTGTGGCTACATCTCCAGCCAGGCTCTGTGCAAGTCATGCGTGCTGCTGGAGGGGCTGAACCGAGGTCTGCCGAAGCTGGGCATAGGCAAACACCACCGCCTGCATGACAAACTCCTCTCCCAGCAGCCCCTTACTGAGAAGGAGGAGAGAAAGCTGAAATCAGAAGACTTTTGACAAATATTTTGCCCTGTTTTATTTACCATAGGACAGAAGACATGACATTTTTGAAATAAACCATGATTGTCATATTTTACACAGGAAATGACTAGTGTAATTTCATCAATTTAATATTTATTGAAAGTTTGTATGGAATATTTTAATTTGGTTAAACTGAGAAACATTTCAGCCCACGTGAAGCTTCTTCAAAGCATAGGAAGTCCGTTCACTGCTGTTTTACATCTGCTAACTTCACTGAGATGCTATGGAAACATTCTTTCAAATGGTTTTAATTTTGTCTGAACATAAGGTCATATTTAATAATAAATGAATGGTATGTGTGTCCACTTTTTGTCATATTTGCCTTTGTGTATTAAGCATGACGATGGGAGATGTTTGACATTTTTCAGTTTCTTTGAAAGCTTCGATACCAACTTGTGTTGAGGAATCAGCATCACTTGGTTTCCAAATTACTGGATATTTAAAACACACATGCTTTAAATAAAACTTAAGTTGTGTCCACCTACAGAAGGCGTGCGAGATGCAGGGACAAGGAATTGCAACTTTATTTTGTTTTTTTAAAGAGATGGTTCATGTTTGAATGAATTAATATCACATTCCAATGTGTTTTATGAACTATGATTTAATAAATGCTTTGTTTTCTTGTTTCTCCTGGTTTTTCGTGATTTGGATGAGGATGATGTTATTATCAATCTCCTGAAATATACGACTTGATGCTCAGTGTTCTTGTGAAACCAGTGGAAGTCAAACCAAGTAAACAATGCCACATAATACTCTTTACAATCTAAAACATTGTAAGTACTACAGACTGTGCAGAACTCAGCTGCTAGGCTTTTAACCGGAACCAAGATGTACAATCACATCACACTTTACATTGGCTCCCTGTCTGTTTTAGGATTGATTATAAGGTCCTGTTGACTTTTAAGGTTCCAGATTATATTTTGGATCTTTTAACTTCTTATAATCCCTTGTGTAGTTTGAGATCTTCAGGCGGGAGTCTCCTGTCTCTTCCTGAGTTCAGGCTAACGATTAAAGGGGATGTAGATTTTGCTGTCAAGGCGATCAAAAATAGCCTTGCCACTTGTCACTTTAATTCATTACTCACATTATTTTGCCATCCAGTGACTAAGGACAAGTAGAGACAGAACTGCACTTTCTAACCCTAAATATAAAATATCAAGAGAAAAACACTTCGCAAATATTTCCCAAATATACCCCGAATTCGAATTTATATCAGACACGCAGAAATTTATTTACTAGGAGAAATGCCAGAATGCCAAATCCTTGCAGATAAATACATCTCTTCATGCCACAAACTGAGGACAACTAATGGAAACTCAGACTAGACTGATAAATATATTAAATAATTGTACTGTAAAATTATTAAATTATTATTATTTTCATTGTTTATTATTTTAGTAATTGTTCCTTGGAAAAATGAACCCATAAACCATAAATACTTAATGGGTTTATTTGATATTTTTTTCTGTTTGATATTGATTTTTTAGTTGTTTTGTTTTGTCTTTTAATATATTGCTGTTTCTTTAATGATCCTAAACATAAAATTATTTCTACATACTACTGACTTTTTTTCTTTTTTTAAACACAAACACAGACTTTTACTGTTTTATTTACTTTATTTAATGAACTGTATGAAATCAGTAGTTCTTTTGTATTGTATTTTAAGCTTTGGCAATATTGTTGTTTGACAATCATGCCAATATTAAATTGAAATTGACCGTTATGGTAAATATGCGTCTCCCGCTTGTGGCCGCTAGATGGCGCTCGTCGCCGCGCCTCAGCCAGGGAGCGCGCACGCTCTGGTAAAGTACACATGCACATATCGCTGCGCGTTCACGAGAGCTTTCCTGACCAACTTCCAGAGCAGCAGCAGGAGACACAGTGGTGAAGTTTGAGGGGTAAAAAACTGAGTTGAGACAGTCGAGAAGCTAAACCAAACATAAAACCGACACAGGTCAAAGCCAGCCAGCCACTATGGACGATTTAGGTAAGTTATGAAGTGGTTTTTTAAACCCCCGTGTGTCTTTTTAACTTAACGGTCACTTATGAGCGGTTAGCAGGGTGGAGGAGAAACGGTACGACGATTTAATGCTTTCTTGTGTCGCCGTTTGTCACCTTAACTTACTCTGAAAGCTACTTTAATTTAAAGTAGCACAGTGCGCCTGAGTGTTTGTTTGGCACATTTTACATTTTTTGTTTTATATAAGCATCGTAGTAACTGGACGTAGCGGCTGGACATGGCTAGCCTTTTACGACCACCACCACCTCCACCTCTTCCTCCTTTTAAACTCTGTAGTAACGTTTCAGATCATAATAACAATAATATTAACACGCTATCCTGAACCATTTAAACAAACTACTTTTGATTAAAATGTGTGCCAGAGGGAGGAGATATTTGGCTGATATTTTGACACCACTGCTTTAACATTACCTCCTCAACTTTTGCCCCCAGGCTGCTCATTCCAGCTTTGAAGTGGTGGAGTTAACAGGCCTCCCCATTTAGACTGCTCAGTGCAGCACAATGTGAGCTCAGCCCTGGCTTGGCTGGCTTTATAATGTATCTACAGTCTGATGGAGCACACTTTAACTGCTAGGGATACTTGGTTAATTACCATGCAATCTTTACTTTGTTGTTCTTCTTCAAAATTGAAAGCCTTGATACAGGAGACAAGGATGGGGACTAGGACATAAAATCCTGTATGTGATTGGATATGTGGGAGCTTAATTTCGACTGAAAACCCCATGGAAACACCCCAAATCTCATTTTACTGTATCCAAGGTGCACTTTCTACTTGATTGTAGGCGGGAGGTGAAACGGTAGCATGTTCCTGACCTTGATTTCTTTATTTTATATTTGATTGGTGGAGTCTATCTGTGTCTATGGATCGCTAGAGGTTCAAAATATGCTGCACAGTTGCTTGGATTATTGATTTAATTATTATTTAACTACATTAACATTTAGAATTGCCATCCAAGCATGTTGTTAAAAAGACAAACTACATTTGTTTATCAGCTAGTTACAAGTACAAAATTCACTGACAACACAATAGTGATAGAACAATTAATCAGGCTGAAATCTGGCATTTTGAGGCAATCTGCAGTGGCTACTAACGATTATTTTCTCAATTAATTGTTAGGTCCAGAAAATTGTGAAAATTGGTGCAAAATGTCGATCAGCGTTTCCCAAAGCCCGAGACGCCGTCCTCAAATATCTTGTTTTGTTCACAACCCAAAGATATTCAGTTTACTGTTATAGAGGAGCGAAGAAACCAAAAAATATTCACATTTAAGAAGCTGGAATCAGAGAATTTGGACGTTTAAATAAAGGACTCAAAGGGATACAAAAATAGTTTATCAAAATAGTTGATTAATCGTCTAATCGTTGCAGCTCTAATCCTACATAACAGATCGAATCTAAAACATTACTGGCTCGCGTTAAATATATGTAGTTACACTGTAGAGAATAATGCAGCTGAGTGACGTCACTTCTGACAAACACCAGTCACGTTCTGAAATCTACAAGAGAACCCAATATAAATAATTAATAAATAACTCCATCAGAAACAACACGTTACTGGCTAAGATAACATGTATAGTTGAATGTACTCTGCACTCTTGAAAAAACCCATATCGGTCGACCACTGCTACACAATAGTCTGATTTTTAGAAAATAAGATGACCTTTTGATTATATTTAATTATTTACTAAATTGCTGTTTGTATAGATCTACTTTTATGGCTTTAATGTTAAAATTAGTGTTGATTTTACGTTATCTACTGCTGATGCTCATTACTTGTTGTCATTTACCAAGACCTGTAAGCTAGTGCTGCAGCTAACACTCAATTTCACAATTTGTTTTGATTTATCAAACGCTTAGTTTCGAAAACATCAGAAAATGGTGAGAAATTGGATACCCAAAGATATTTAACTTGCAGGGATTGTAGTCTAAGAAAAGGAGTAAATACTCACATCCGAGTGACTGAAACCAGTAAATTTTTAACTATAGTTTTTCTGTCAATCAGTAAATTTAAACACTGCATCGATGGCAGGCTATGTGTAGCTCCATCTATATTTTCATGCCTCACTAACCAGTTGCCTCTTCACTTCAGGGGCCCCTTGACCTTTGGCACTGAACTCTGAACTTCTAATTTCGTTGTTATAGTTTTCAGCAGCTGGTCAGTTTGTTATATCTACCGTTACTAATTCAAAATAAATCGGGTATCTTTAGGAATGCTGACATACTCTGATCTCCCAAATTAGAAAGGCAGTAAAATGGATTTGTGAATCGTTTAAGAGGCTAGACGACGGGCTGTATTTTGAGTTTGGCTTGAGGATACAACCAGGGCACGTTAGATGCTCTGCGCCGCTGAAAGGGCTGATTGTTGTTTGAGATGAAGCCTGAACAGTAAGGCTGAAGGAGAGGTGGCGAGGCTGCTGAGGAATGTCGAGCATCACCCCGAGTCCGGGTCCGAGGCCAGTCCGAGGCCAAAGACTCTCGACTTTTTATATACAATCTATGGTCATGACTCGCCTCCTACTACTTTACTCTCAGCCCCGTGCACGATGCCACCAGAGGGAGGGGCTGCCGGGGTTTTTTTTTGGTCTGTCTTCCTCAAACATGGGTCGTGTGGTAACTGCAGATACTTAAGAGATTGTCAAAAAACATCTGAGCGTTGAGGTCTGGTAGCCTTGACAGTCACAGAACCGCAAAGTTAAATGTTTTTCAGCTGCTCTAACGTAACCATTTAAACGTTTTTGTGCACATCATGTGGCACACCCCTCCCACGCCCTCCTCCCTAAATATGCAATAACAAGCCATGTTAAATATTTGTAAATACTTTGGTTTACTGTAATCCCAGGAAACTCCCCCACCTTACAAGCCCCCGTGGCTTATTGATGACTGACAGGTCTACATGGAGCTGTTTGGAAACCTGATCACTCTTTCAGTCTATGTTCATTCTGTGTATATTGATCTGCCCACGTCGCTTAACACTCGAGGAAGGGAATTCTCTCAGCATAGTGTGAGCGCTCTTCCAGCCTCTGAGTCAGACTTTTCCAGAGATCAGTCTTTTACAGTCCGGACCAGGTGGCGGCCAGGCCTAGCCTAACTGTCGTTAACTGATGTGGCTGAGGGGACAAGTCCTCACCCAGATGTGACCCTTTAAACCACATGTGGCCCACTGTCCTTTGGCTTGTCCTGCTCCTGCATCTTCATGTTTGTGTAGTGTGACCCCAAGCTCCGCTCTCTGTTAAATTCCTCAGCGATGTGTCAGATTCAGGCAGACTGACCTCACAGGGCTGTGGAGACCCTGCTCCGGGTCTGCCGGTAAACACAGAAGAATTTGGATTTGTACAGACGTGCATTGTGCTGGAGGCCCATGGCTAAAGTGAGAATAACACGTCAATCAAGCTTGACAGACTTCTTTTTTGTTGTAAATTCCCACAAAATCAGATCTTTGCGGATTACCAGTTGATCAAATCCAGGGCTGGATTAGTATCAGGGCAAAGTGTTTAAGAGCCCCGCACCCATAGGGGACTCAAAAAATTATTAACAATTATTAATATAAGCTGACATTTTAAGCACATTAAGGCTGCTCCTGTATTTTAACTTAATCTTGAAGCCCTCTCTGCAGAGGGGATCAGAGCATGGCTTAATCCTGCGTTCACCTGAGAAGCAGAAAACGGGTATTATTTATCGCTTCAATGCCAAAACAGCGTGGGCAACTCATCTCTATTTTGCAGACACAGTGAGGTCCTTGTGTATGTGCCGGAGGTGGCTATGTGGGCTGAAACAGACAGCTGCACCTGCTGAACATGCCTTTTGTAAACCCAAACAGCAGTCCTACTAGATTTACTGGAATAGTATCAGTTGATCACCTTGCTGGGGAACACCTTATTCTCCAGGCAGGAGCTAAAGCTGGCTGTTGTACAATCAGTGTGGTCTTAAATGTTTACAGCGTTTGCACAGCATACCAAAAGATCCTAGAAGGTCTATAGTGGTTTCTGTGTCCCAGTGTGTCGGCAGTACGGAGTTAATGTTACCAGACTAGCTTTCATCACCCCTCGAGAGCTGCAAGGTTAGTGCATACCGTCCCTAACCAGTGCCTGCTCAGTTAGAGGGAAGTAAATCAGTCTCGTTCCCGGGCTCCACACCCATCCTGTTCTGGGTCTGGGGAAGAGAAGAGTTTCATGGCTGACCTCATCGCTTAGGCAACAGACCCTGCCCCACATCCTGAGGAAACAGAGGAGAAAAACAATGAGCGGAGTCACTGCTGAAGGCCAGCAAATACTGGTAAAGGGGGCCGCTGCGAGCCCTCAGTCGGTGATCCTGCTTCTAGAACAGCGTTTTCACTGTTATGTGCTTTTTTTTTTTACCACGTTGTTGCTTCAGGTGCAGCGCTCCTCGTTCTCCTCCTCTTGCCATGCTGTTTCAATGCTTGTCCTGTTCCCTGGCCTTGTAACTTGGCCCAGAGAACAGGGCTGATTATTTTCCTGACAGGTCTGGGTAATGTATTAGGAATCCGAGTCCCAGCTGGATTGTTTGAACGTTACTCAAGCTGGGGACACCTGAGGGCATGTTCAAAAAGCGTTTCATGTGTGTAAGCAGGGCAGGGAATCTCACTTCTATTTTCTAAATAAATTTTTTTTTTAATATTGTAGCATAAACCTACACTTTTCTGGGTATCGAACTTCAATGCCTTAATCAATGGTAATGATTGAAATGTGTCCGTAGCACAAGTATTAACTGTCGAGTAGCACAAGCTGATGTCAAGCACAGATTCATACTTTTCTTTTGTGTGATTTAGAGCTGCAACCATGAGTCAAGTAGTCAATCTATAAATGATTAATCTGCAGATGTTTTCATAATTAATAAGCAAGCAAAGATTTCAAGCATTTGATGATGCTGTGATTAATACTGTAAATTTCCATTTTTTTTGAAGCCATCTCAGAAGCTCTACTTAAGAAAGACATAAAGATATACCCAAT